GATCCTCCTCCTCCCCTCGCCATCCCCAAGCAGCGCAGCCTGCTGCTCTTGCCCTTGCACAAGCCCAGCTGGCCATCACCCCCGGCAGCACTGCCGCTCCTCCTCCTCCTGAAGGAAAAAGGGGCAGAAGAGGCTGCCCTCCACCCCCCAAGCAGCAAAGCCTCCCATTCCCGGCCTGCTCAAGGCTCTTTCTCCCTCTCCTCTCCTTCCTCAAACAGTGCAGGCAGGCAGGGCCGTAGCCAGAAAAAAATTTCGGGAGGGGTTGAAATTTTCGGGGGGGGGGGTGAAAATTGGGGGGGGTTTAAACCTGCCTCCTAGCTCACGCTGAAGCAAAGAGCACAGCAGGGGGCAGAGCAGCCTTCAGTAGCCTGCAGCTCCACCCCTGTCAACCACCTCCACCAAGTCTGGCCTCCTTAATGAGAGCATTCAACACACACACCCCCAACTTGGTTGCTTCACTACATCGGCTATTGCTGCAAGTAATGACAGTGTGAATAAATTGTCAATATTTGCTTGAGATAGTGCTTGCAGTTCTGGAGGGACTCTTAATTTTTTGCGTCTCATAGACTTAGCATGGGGATTTGGTTAACCAGTTAAAATTCATGAGTAAACCAGTTTTTTTTAAAAAAAATCTGAAACATTTCGGGGTGGGGGGTGGGGTTGAACCCCTAAAGGCATGCAGGCTACTCAAGGAGAGTCCAAACAAAGGCACCTCCGAGAAAGTCCTGCTGGAGAAACTTATTCTTTCTCCCCTCTTTGGGGTTTCTTTCCTTTCTCTGTGCTCAGCTCCCTCTGAAAGAACAGCCGCTCTTAAGTTTTAAAAGTTTTAAATAGCCTGCAGAGGGAGGAAGAAAAAGGTCTCTTTCCCCTGTTTTGTTTTGTTTCTGCAGCCAAGAACGAGGCAGCCTTAAAGGGGAAGTCCCAGTGCAAGGGTGAGCTACTCTTAAAGGGGAACCCCCCCCCCCCAAAAAAACTGCCACAGATTCAGTGCCATGTAATCACAGGAGTTGTAGTTTTACAAGCTCCTTAGTCTTCCCTGTTTAAGAAAGCCAGTACCATACCAAACTACAAGTCCCAGTTTTCTATCAGATTGTTTTGAATGTCAACTCTCACAATTCCTAACACCAGGCATAGGCAAAGTTTGCCCATGCCTGGTAGAGAAGCATCCTACGTTTCTTCAGGGTACATCAATAGTACTGTAGAAAAACACAAAAGGCTCGGTTCTGTTGAGCACAAACTCCCATCACCAGATATACCTCTGGAAAAATAACAGAAGTATTCTAAGATAGTTTAGCTTTCGAGACATATCCATGCTTTTTTAATAGCAGGAGAAATTAACCCATTTCCAGCCATGCCAAAAATGTGTGTATTAAGTGGGAAAATCATGAACACATTTTCCTTTAATGCTAAAAGTTGCATTTAGATCAGGCTTTGGCCCTCCAGGTGTTTTGGACTTCAACTCCCACAATTCCTAACAGCCTACTGACTGGGTTGCTGTGAGTTTTTCAGACTGTATAGCCATGATCCAGAAGTGTCCTTTCCTGATGTTTTGCCCAGATCTATGCCAGGCATCCTCGGAGGTTGTGAGGTCTGTTGGAAACTTGGCAAGTGGGGTTTATATATCTGTGGAAAGTCCAGGGTGGGAGAAAGAACTCTTGTCTGTTGAGGTAAGTGGTGAATGTTGCAATTGGCACCTTGATTAGCACTGAATGGCCTTGCAGCTTCAAAGCCTGGCTGCTGTCCTGCCTGGGGGAATCCTTTGTTGGGAGGTTAGCTGGCCCTGATTGTTTCTTGTCTGGAATTTCCCCTGTTTTTGAGTGTTGTTCTTTATTTACTGTCCTGATTTTAGAGTTTAATACTGGTAGCCAGATTTTGTTCATTTTCATGGTTTCCTCCTCTGTTGAAATTGTCCACATGCTTATGGATTTCAATGGCTTCTCTGTGTAGTCTGACATGGTGGTTTGTGAGAGTGGTCCAGCATTTCTGTGTTCTCAAATACTGACTGTTAGGAATTGTGGGAGTTGAAGCCCAAAACACCTGGAGGGTTACAGTTTGCCCATGCCTGATTTAGATCCATCTCAAAAATTCATCAAGCCCTTTGGGCATGACCTTGGAAATATCTGGCTGCAGTGCAAAATCTTCTCAAGTGTTGGGTTTTGGAAGCTGCACAAGATGGCTTTAAGGCAACTTCTGTCCCCTCAGCTTACCAGTAGATGCTGCATTTCCCTCCCCCAGCTTATACTTGAGTCAATAAATTTCCCCAGTTTTTGGTGATAAAATTAGGTGCCTTGGCTTATATTCAGGTCAGCTTATACTCAAGAATATAAGGTAACTGGATGGTCATCTGTTGGGGGGCTTGCATTGTGTCTTCCCACCTGGCAGGAGTGAGTGGGGTTGGAATGGATGGCCATTGGAGTCCCTTCCAACTCTAGCGTTCTGTTGTTGTTGTTATTGTTAAGCAGAGTCTTATGGCCACCAGTCAAGAGGACTTGCATTGTGCCTTCCTGCCTGGCAGGAATGGGGTTGGACTGAATGGTCATTGAGGTCCCTTCCAACACTAGGGTTCTATTATTATTGTTGTTATTGCTATTATTAAGTAGAACAGGATGGCCACCTGTCGGGACGGCTTGGACGTGTGCTCCTGTCTGGCAGAATTAGGGTTAGACTGGATGGCCATTGGAGTCCCTTCCAATTCTAGGTTTCCATTGTTGTTGTTGTTGTTGTTGTTGGGGAAAGGACATTGGACCCGGCCCTGGTCTCACTCTAGGTAAGGTAAGGTAGAAATTTATAGTACTTTATTACGCTCCATGGACCCACAACTGTTAAATCAATAATAAACATACAGGAGTTTACAGGTGAGGTAAAGGTTTCTCCTGACATTAAGTCCAGTTGTGTCCGACTCTGGGGGTGGGCACTCATCTCCATTTCTAAGCTGAAGAGCTGGATACTGCTTTGATAGTCTTGGATTTGAAATCAAATCAGATGTTTTTATTTTTATTTGGTGTGCAATGGAAGAGGGGTGCTCTTATACGGCAAGTATATCCCAAACTCTCTATTTTAACTGGAAAAGTTGGGGGTCGTCTTATACGCCCAGTCGTCTTATATGCCGGAATATACGGTAATTTTGACGGTTCTTTTTATTTCTAGCTGCAGAGGAATATCCTAGCCTCCAATCCCCGCGTCACCCGCTTCCACATCAACTGGGATAGTCCTAGAGACCAGATGGACAATATTGAAAATGTAGACCCAGAGCCCGATGGCTTCCTTCCTCCCAACTGTGCATACATCAAAGGGTTGGCCCCTTCCATGGCTCTTCAGCCCGAGAATTCCATGGACTGTATGTGACCCAAGACAAAGACCTAAGGACCTTGCGTAGAGAAGGCCAACTGAAACATTTATGTGGTAACTGGGGATTTGGTTACCTGTGACCAGTGGAGATGAATAAAGTCCTAAATGACACCTCTCTCTAAACAGACATTTCAGAGCTCACTTCCTTCCTGTTGGGGTTATGACAGGAAGGTTCTCCATACTGTTTCTTAATAGGGACTTGAACCCTCCTGCCATTCCTGCTTGGCAAGCATCTTGTCCAGGTGAGTGAATAAACAAGAGCCCATTGCCATATTTCCTGAAATTGGGAGCAGTGTGGGCTGCCTTGATGCTCTGAGCACCCAAATTATAAGAATCTTAATACAACAAGCACTTTCCTTTCAAAACAGTCTTTTGATTTTATCATTCAATTCCATCAAAGAGCTAAGCCTTGGAAGAGTTGCTTCTGCCACAAAGCGGGGTTCTTTTCTTAGGAGCTAATATTCTTTCCCAGTTATGCAGCAGTCCTGCATAAGAGCTGTAACTTTCCTTTGTGGAGATCTCTTGTTTTATCTTGCACCTGCTGCTTTTTCTGCCACTATCCCAAAAGATGCCCTCTCTGAGCCCAATCAGTTTGGTTAGGCAGTGAGTAAGTTTAGAAATCCACTTGACATCTCTTGCCTATAGGAGTATTGGACAGGATTTTTTCATGAAGTCTGCACCTGAGGTACTCTTGGTGTTGATTGATATATAAAGTCTTGTTTCCGCAAGTATCCCTGTAATTTTTTTGCCCTTATTAGAATGGCTTTTCAGATAGGACAAAACTGTATCTGCATAATTGAGGGTTTTAGCTTTCCTGCTGCTTCCTACTTTTCAGGGTTTTCTTGCCCTGTTTCTTTGCCTGCCTATTTCTCTCACTGGCATTATAGATAATATGTGCACTGCACACAGGTCTTTTTAATTTGTTCACATTGTGAAGTGACTGTCCTACCAATAAAGCATTTGGAAGAAATGTGTGTGAATTCTGAGTGGTATACCTTTCATAGATTTTATTGTTATTTGCTGTTCAATTTGACAAATTGCATAGTAGCATAATGACATTTGCATTTTACAAACAGGAATGGTGAATTATATTTCAATTACTGTGTGTGGTCTATTATATCTGTGGGATTTAGTATGATATGGAATGGCTTTGGTTTAAGTCAGCTATGTGGGACAAGTTTTTCTTAGATGCATATTTTTAAAATCTTTTTTTTATATAGGAAGTTTATTTTTTTCTTGTTTTTAAAAAAGAAGTTACAGAGAGCAATAATGGGGGAAAGCAACAATATAGTTCTTAGTAAGTCACTCACGTCTTTCACCTCTGACTTGGTCAGATTTTACATATCTATATATAAAAGTCAAAATAAGTATGTGCCAACAATGGTTCCTACATGGCTTGATGGATCTGGACCAAACCTGGTAAACATACCCTTCATGATACAACAAAAATACTGGTGGAATTTGGGGTTACTGATAGAGGATGATGAGAGCTGGAGTCCAACCACACCCAGAGAGCGGCATCATTCCCACCCACAACTGAAGCCTGGCCAGATCTGGAGCTTATGGGAGTTTCAACCTGACCTGGTCAAGGAATGGTGAGAGCTGCAACCCAACTAGATCTTGGAGGATGGTGGGAGTTGTTAGTCCAACCACATCCAAAGAGCTGCATCTTTCCCAGCCACAACTGAGGTGTGTCTCTCCTAACCAATCGGCTCAGCCTACTTGCCAGGGTGCATCTCCCAGCATCCTGACCCCTTCGCTAGGCAGGTTGGGAATGGTGGGAGTTGCAGTCCAACAAGAAGGCTGGGTCCTCTGACCAGTTAGAACGAGTTCCAGCCAGCCAAATCTGGGGCCAATGGGAGTTGGCAAACCAGAGGGGATGGGAGTTGCAGCTAGCCTGAACTGGGGGGATGAGAGTGACAGTTGACTAGGTCTTTGACTGATACGGCTTAACAATGAGCAGGGCTTTTATGGAGACTTACATCAGCAGGGTGTGGTCAGTACCTGAGAGACTGTGTTGTTTCTGTAGTTTGTTTTTGTCCTACATTTTATTCAATGTAGATTTTATTAAATAAAAATATTTTTAAAATAATTATGATTTGTCCTGAGTTATTCTTTTGCTGCTGCTTTTAAAACTGCTTCTTAAAATGTACCTTTTTTCCCTCTGCCACTTCCTCCAATACCCCACTGTATCCTCCCTTTCTAACATGTGGCCATTCCATTCCTCAGCTGCCACCAGAATTTCTCTTTCCAGTCATTACATGCATGTGGAATCATACTTTACACTCATGATAAAAATATGATGAAAACACAACCTTCTACAGAGATCAAGCCATTCTATTTAGTACAATTGTTCATGACTTCATAACCTAAGAACTGGGGCTACTCTTAGCACATTTCTAAGCTTCAACTAACCAGGGAGTAAGTCGCTCAATTATTAGAAGATCTTAGCTACCGAGAGTCAATTATACTTGTACCCTGCAGTGTATGACGACTCCAGGTGTGAATCAAGGAGTTGAGTACAAGGTATAGAGTTCTATCAATCTGGAACTCACTTCACTTTAGAGCAAGTCTTCTTTGCCTTCATAGCAGCGAGGTTGCCTCTATAAAGGGCAAAACTGGTTCAAGAACTTAATATTTAATTATGGTCAAAAAGGAGGAATGTACTGGTGAATCTTGTTGAGTCAGTGAAAGTTCCTTTAGGGTAGAGGTAGTCCCCTGACATTAAGTCCAGTCATGTCTGACTCTGGGGTGTGGTGCTCATCTCCATTTCTAAGCTGAAGAGCCAGCGTTGTCCGTAGACGCCTCCAAGATCATGTGGCCGGCATGACTGCATGGAGTGCCATTAGTTCCTTTAAGGTCATGGAATTCAAGAAAGAGAAGGAAAATGGCATGATGGATCCTCCCTTTGCTCACAATGAGCAGATAGTCATAGGGCACTTGGCCTCTTCTTTCCAATTATTAATCCTTTTGGGTCACTGCCAGTGATAGAAAACTTTTGCTAACAGATCTAAATAAAATAATTAAGAATGTGCACCGTTTATCAGAGTAAACCATTGTTAAAATTTTATTTTAGTACAGTCCCTCTGTAACTGAGTTGGTTCCATTCACATTAAAGAAGATAGGCATTGGGTTTGATATGGGCCTATTTATTTAGGATCATGTAATCAATTTTGTCTGGTTTCCCTGAGGAAACTGCGCAAAATACCTATTTAGATTGTGCTACACAACAGGGTTTTTTGATTTGCACTATTTAAAGCTGTGCTTAGTGTTGGAGTGGGGCTGGTAGAATTAGCACAACTTTTTTGATAGCCACACAGTGGGGGCTTTCCCTATATTTATGTATTTCTGATGAATAAAAAAACTCCAGTAAGAAATTCTTTTATCAAACTCTTTCCTTGTCAAAGAAAAAGAAAAGAGGATCTTTATAATCCTTTCCAAGGTCACCTTTCCTTTAAGCTATGTCTAAATGGAACTGCTCTTGGCACAAGAGGATTTGGAAACTCTAAAAAAATAGCTATGTGTTGTGGTGGGGATGAGGAAGGGGTGGAGGGAAACAATGAAAATGCTTATGGAAAAAAATTCCTACTTTTAATTCTTTTTTCTCCAGTCCTCTATTTTCAGATGTATTCAATTGCAACCACAATACCAAGGACAAGCTAAACTATTTTAAGTTGCAGAATACAAGAGGGTAGATTCCAATTGAACATTAGAAACACCTTCTTGGCAGTAAAAACTGAACCAATTACTTAGTTGGAGGAGTGATCTTGTCCTAAATGTTTTCAGAAAGAGGCTGAACAGCTACCCGCTGGGATAATTTAGCTCAACGTTTCTCAATCTGGGGGTCGGGACCCCTGGGGGGGGGGTTCAGAGGGGTTGCTAAAGACCATCTGAAAACACATATTTCTGATGGTCTTAGGAACCCCTTTGGTAGAGAAAACTGAATTTCTCTGGTCCAGTGAATTAAAATACATCCCGCATATCAGATATTTATATTATGATCCATAACAGCAGCAAAATTACAGTTATGAAGTAGCCACGAAACTAATTTTATGGCTGGGGGTCACCACATGAGGAACGGTATTAAGGGGTCGCAGCATTAGGAAGGTTTAGAACCATAGAATTAGCTGGATTCCATATATTAAGCTGGGAATGGGGTTGGATTTGTTGTCCTATGGGACCCCTTCTCTATAATTTGATGATTTCAGTCTTCCTGGCACATAAGGCCAGGGTTATAGTGACTATGGAGCCTTTTTGTGAGGTGGGTATGCAACAGGTAAGCTGCAGAAAGTGGGGCTTCTCTTTTCCCTCTTTGAATATGACCCAGATCTCTTTAAATCTGAGCTATTTATGAAAGCACCTCACCCCTAAAATTATTGCATTAACATAAACCATGCTTTCCCTCTTGTCGTTGGATAATTTGTTTGTAAAGCCAAGAGGCTACTCACCATCAAAATGTATTACTACCTGTACTGTTATAACACTTAAATGGCCCTGAGAAAATTAGCTGTCTAGATCTTGTTGAACTCCGAATTTTAACCACCTCGCCATGGGCAAGAAAGGAGTGGTATTTCATCCACATCTGCATGGCCATAGGCTCCCGACTCATTCAAAATTAACATGGCAGATTATATCACCAGTTCTATTTACATTGCCTCAGATTATACTTGGCACAGCATTTCAGAGCATTTCCGCTATTTCGGATGTGTAAGTAAGAAATCTGAGTAACAAGCCAAACTAGTTTTCTTTTTCCAGTTCAAAGGGGTAACATTAAACAATCACAAAAGAGTATAGTGTGCCTATTTACTATATCTAAAATAGCTCTTTAGTTAGATATTGCAGTGCCCAGAAACTAGGATTGCTATTCCTCGGTTACCTTTATCTGCAATTTAAAATCTTGGGCAGAGTTCCTGTTCTTGATTCCTTCGTTGTAGCAGGACAAAATGATCTATTCAGCAGTGGCACCTAGGAAATTTCACCATGCTTCTTTTACATTGGTTTTTAGTGCCAGGCAAAGTCAGCCCCACATTCCCAAGGCCCTGAGAATCCTAACTATATAGATTTTAATTTGCTGCTTTAAAAAATTCTGAAATTGTCTGATTTTGATGTTTATTTATACCAGTGGTTCCCAAACTTTTTTTCACCAGGGACTAATTGATCAGGGAACACTCTCCAAAATTAGTACCAAAAGGGTTACGAATCAATTTTGGGTCAACTCTGGATTTGTTTTATTTGGGGTGCTGATTCAGAAAATTGCATTGGATAGACCACATCAGCTCTAGTTTCTGATACAGAGCATATGCCGCCCGGTAGTCGCCATCTGCTTGCCCACAGAAGACCATATTTAATAATCTAGAGCTGACCACAGGTTGAGAACCACCAATTTATACAATTCTGCTCGCTCTGTTTTATATATCTTTATGATGACTTTGAAAGTGATTTGGGTCAAAATTGGAGTGAACAACCTCCTTTTTTGTTACTGATGTGTGCCTCAACGTCATTTCAAACTTATGGTGACCCTATCACTGGGTTTTCCTGGATGTGCCTTTGCCCTCCTCTGAGGCTGGAGAATGTGACTTGCCCAAGGTCACTCAGCCAAGGAGGAATTTGAACCTGGTCTCAGGAGTCCTAGTCCTATGCTCAAACCACTACAACAGTGTTTACTTTTAAAATGGAATTATGGTTTTGTGTCAGTAACATAGTTCATTTTATATTGAAGACTCTTTCAGGTTTTAAGAATTCTACCTCACAGCATATAATCTGCTTGTGAACAAAAAGAAATAAACCATCATCTTTTGTTCTACTTGATCACCCCAGGTTTTATTCTCACTTTGCACGATCAACCATATGATTGTAATAATTACAACTGCGCTAATACCAATATTAAAAGTTTTGTTTCAAACGTAATTCATTTTGTGTGTGCATGTAGGAAGTCCAATATTGAAACATGTGGCTATCTATGATTAGCCT